CTCGACTGCGGCCGACGACCCGTTGCCCGCCAGGCGACCCTTCTTCTCCCCTCCCCTCCTCCTGCGCCCCCCCCCCCCTCACGCCTCCTCCCCCGCCTCCTTTCTCTCTCTCTCTCTCTCTCTCTCTCTCTCTCTCTCTCTCTCTCTCTCTCTCTCTCTCTCTCTCTCTCTCTCTCTCTCTCTCTCGACCTCCATCCCAAATTGGGTATAGAATAAGGGAGCAGTGTTGTGAAACATATTCAGATCTATTTCGCAATGGTTGTGGTCGACAACCTTCTTTATTAATCTAGATTTATTTCTTTATTCCACAAATATATACAATAGTGAACTTACATATCTAATCTCTATTAATCCTACTATCTATTACTGTTTGTTCTATGTCTAGGTCCTTAATGTTAGTGTAAGCACAGGGTTTTGTCCTCGTTCCTCTGAGGCAGAGTAGGGATGACCGCAGCAACGAAAAGGCCAGCCGACATCTTATCCATGCCACGACGCAGCTTTTTTGTTGTTGTTTTCTTTCGGCAAGCTGCTGTGTGAGGCATGAATAAAATGTGATGGCTCTTGGTGCCATTCCTCCCGCTGTGGTGAAGACAAGAGGCGTGAATGTCCCTTGTTCCACCTCCCGTATCCGCTCTCCGTACTCCCTCATTTTTTTCATTTTCGTGCTTTCTGTGTGCTGATGTGAGTTCCTGTGAGCGATTGCTTGAGGCCATGGGGTTGAAAATTCTTATATCAAAGAAGGCCCGCTGTCCTCTTATCCAGAATCCTCTCGCACTCACATCCAGGCGGGCATCGTCGGCGGTGTTGGTCGACTGCAGCGAGAAGTTCCGTCCGGTCGTGGGTATGAGGCCTGGCTCAACCCTAACGTCGCGGCACACCTCGCCGAGCATTTGTGCCGTCACGTCCCTCACCTCGTCATGACGCATGCAGACGAATCCACCCGTCTTGCACGTCATGGCGTGATTTGGGTCGAATGATGAGCCGCAGGTGCAGTGCTGGTGGAGACCCTCAATTGACCAGCCATATCGTAGGCAAATGGCATCTGTAAACTCTTGCTTGTTCAGGCTAAATCCTTTAGATTTTATGGGTAGCGTTGATAGCCAATTTGATGCACCTATTTCCCTTGCTATTTCTATTCTTTTTTTCATTTTCTCTGATAATTGTGTGCTTATCTCTTGCAATTCTGCTTTCTGTTTGGTCTCTCTTGTTCTAGCGATTTCCTTCCTGATTTGTTGTTGCTCCCTCATATCTGTCTGTGTGTCCGTGTCTTGTAATATGATTGATTGAGTTAGTCTGGCTGTGAGCTTGATGGAGTTCTGAAATTCGATATTGGCGGTCTTGCTTGGATGTAAGATACCGAGACCTCCTAATCTGGGTGGCAGCTCCAGGATTGACCTCTCTAGGCCTGCGGTGTTCCTATTTCTTATCGCTGCTTCCAGGGGCTCAAGCAAGTGTCCGATGTTTGGGACTGTTTGCATCAGGAAGTTCCATTTATTCTTTACCCCGAAAATGAAGGCCGTGTAGGCTGAGTGCGGTTCCGATCTTGCGATGTCTGTTAGAGTCTTCAGCTCGCCTTTCCATTTGTTCACCTGCGACCTCACGTGCCTCTGTAGTGCCCAAAACTGCTCCGAGGCGTTTCTCCCCACCTGCCTTTATGTTTATATTTATGTTTCGGAAAGACTCCTTAGCAAGGTCGAGATGTTCTAGCTTAACGCTTAGAACTAATTTATTTGCATTTGGGTGGTATCCTTGTGGAGGGCCATGGTTTTCAACTATTTCCCACCATCTTCGAAGGTCCTTTATTTTTCCGGCTCCTGTGAGGTCGTCGGCGTATGCAACTTCTTTGATGTTCGTTTTGCTGTGTTCCAGTTGGTCTTGCAACCGAAGCAGGCCGATTGCGTACATGGCCATTGCCACAGGGTCGCCTTGGGTTGTTCCTTCGGATGATGCCATCACTTCACTGGTGTTTGTTTCTATGTTGTTAATGTATCAGTACCGCCTCACAGTCGGACTCCTCGAATATTTTGCGCATGGCATGGATGGCAGCTTCGCATCCCGCTGGTTGACCTACGCACACTTGGAGATTGCCCACTGCTCTTTTGATGTCATCTCCGACGACTTCCATTATGGCTTTGCCGATAATTCTTCTCAGGACCTCTCCGATCCCGATTGGTCGACAGCCTGGTCGCTTATATAATGCAATAAGACGGCATGATGTGAATGCCTCAATATGTCGGCAATCTTCCGTGGCGAGCTTTCTTGCTAAATCTGCTATTGCCTTACTTAGATCGCCTGCTGCATTGCCGAATCTGCTGGTGCTCAGAATGCTCTTCCATCTGTCTGCATCTAGTCCCGAGGGTCCAGCTGCTCCGTTGGTGTTGAGCGCGTGTCTCCCGATTTTTTCTCCGGTGATGCTTTCGAAGATCTCAGGCGGCGGTGGATGGTATTCTCCCTGGAACAGCGTTTCCGGCGCAGCCTCCCTTGCAGGCGGGTGTTTCTCCCGCAGCATCTGACGTGTGTCCTCGTTCAGAGGGAGGGGTCCTGTACATTCACCAGGTGATAGGAGCCTAACTGCCTTTGCAACTTTGCCTTGTTGCATCATGTTAGCGAATCTCGTACACCTGTCTATTTCCTTCTTCCTTCTAATTGCTCACCTGTTTCTCTGTTGGAGAGCCTCGGCCTCTTTTAATAGTCCCTCTACATCGCCCTCTTTCCATTTGTCCATCCTTCTCTTTATGGCTTTTATATTATCTGAAGTTTTGGCTTTATTGTGCGTTTTCTGACAGATGAGGTGTGGAAGTATTGCTACTGCTTTCAAGGCGAGTGATTGGAGAAAAGTGCCATTCGTGTATGCCTTTATAAGGAACTCCATCTCCTTAATGAAATCAATGGTCGCATTACATTTAGGGATTTCGCACTTGTTTGGAGAGAATTCTATTATTTTTCTGTATATGCTTTCCGTGACCGCTTTTGCCTCATCTAACGACATTACTTGCCAGTATCTCCTCGGGGGGTCTTCTCCTCCTTCTTGGGTTGCCGGTTGCTGTATTCCATGCTCTGTCGTGTCCTCCTCCTGCTGTGGGCCTGTTGCGGTTTCCATCTGTATCTCTATTCTTCCCTCGTGTGTATGGTCTTTGTTCTGACATGTTGGACCTACTCTGCAGTTTGTACATGATCTGTGACTTCTTGCACATATGCAGTTTGAGCAATTACGGGTAGTACACGCACAGCATCGAGCTGTCGTGGTCATTTTCCGTGCCCAGTTGTGGTGAGGGGGGGGGGGGGGATTGGCGATAGGGTTATCTCTTTCCACTGGTCAAGCGCGGCAATGTTGCCATATGTGTGTTTGTTATTTCTCACTCTTTTCTTTGTTTAATTTATTTCTTTATTACATCTAACTTGCGTAATTTAAGTATTTGAATGGATTTGTTTTGCTATATGTAGGATGTTATTATTCACTTATTTTTTTTCTGAAACGGTGTTTTCACTTTTCACTAACTGGAAACTGAATTGGCACTCGACTCGTGCTTCCGATAATCACTCGCGCTTATGCCTAGATGCAATTTTTCCGCGCACTAGAAATTTTTCTTATTTCACTTTAAATATCTGTCACTGCGGATATATATTTCCTGTATTTTTCAATCCACTGAAAATGGACACACTTTCTTCTAGCTTTTCTTAAAGTTTCAAGAATGTACGTCGAGTTCTTCTATGCGTAATGAAGATTAAAAGGTGGACCTCCCCCGCACACGTCCGCCCACGCCGACCTCTCTCCCTCCCCCGCCTTCCCTCTGCTCTTTTCCTTTCCTTCCTCCTCCTTCCCTTGCCTTCTCCCTTTCAACCTCCTTCACCAGCTCCTCTCCTTTCCTTCCATTTTCTCACCTTGATCCCCCCCCCCCACTCCTCCTCATTCTCCTCCCCTCTTCCCCTCTCCCCTTGCCTCCCCTTCTTCCCCTCCTCCTCCCTCCCTCCCCTCCTCCTCGTCCTCCTCTTGTTTTCCTCCAATTTCTCCTTCTCTCCCCCTCTCCCTTTCACCCTGCCCCTCCCTCCCCCTCGTCCTCCCCCCCCTCTTCTTCCACTCCCTCCCCTCACCCCCTCCCCTGGCCCCTCCATCCCCACCCTCTTGTACTTATCAGGTCACACTCTTTCGCTGTGATTACTAAACGTCTGATAAATGTTAGTTCAAAAGGCATGACATGACATGGATAGACCAGGCCTTGGCACGCGAAAATAATCCTTAGTGTTTACGAAGAAACGTCACACCGAAGGGGGCAATTGTATCTTGTTTATACATCAAATATTCTTTGCAAATTCCTCCATCGGTATATTCAATCTCATCTGAATGCCTTATGAACATTTGTTTTTATCATCACACAAACTTATCTGTAATAAATAAATAAATAAATAAAAACTAAGATTATCACATAAATGTCTTACTCTGAGTCTAAAAAGACGCTAAAGCACTTAAATGGACACGACCACTTCCCTCCGCAGGTCAGCTCTCGTCCCACACTACAAGTTCGACATCAATAAAGAGATTAAGTTCCTTGTAGATTACTGGGACTATGTATCCTATGCCACGCTACTACACTCCCCCCCCCCCCTCCTGCCTTCCCCCTCCTTTTCCTCCTTCTCTCCCTCTCCCCAGCACTTGTCACTCTCGTCCCAGATGGCTTCACGACGCGCCTGAGTGGGCAGTCCGTCCTCGACGATGGTGCAGTCAGGCCAATATTTCTAAATTGCTTCAACCGCTCAGCTGTTTACCGAGAGGATCTGATCTCTCTCTCTCTCTCTCTCTCTCTCTCTCTCTCTCTCTCTCTCTCTCTCTCTCTCTCTCTCTCTCTCTCTCTCTCTTCTCTCTCTCTCTCTCTCTCTCTCTCTCTCTCTCTCTCTCTCTCTCTCTCTCTCTTCTCTCTCTCTATCTATCTATATATCTATCTATCTATCCCTCCCTCCCTCACTCTCTCTCTCTCTCTCTCTCTCTCTCTCTCTCTCTCTCT